GCTCTCCTGGAAGCTACATCCACCCTTGCTCCTGCCCACACGCCTATTTGTAACTGCCTCTGTGTACAGTGACCTCTCCTTCCTGTCTGCTGTTGGCATCGACATCGACGCCTCTGATTTGGCTGATTTTACTCCTGAAACACGGGGAAGTCGGTTCTGAGAAATAAAATTCTCAGGGTCTCCTTTGCATGAAGAGAACTTCAGTGGACACATAAGTAATGCTGAGTTGACAACAGACACAGCAGCGTGCACGGTGAGAAATAAATGACCAGCAATCCTGCAGTCATCATTTGGGGATTTCTGGTCAGAAGCCATGTGGAATCCATATAATTACCTAAATCTCATCTTGCAGTTGTCTCAAAACAAGTATCAAACCTCTCTTTGGTTTTCAGAGCCGTGCACAGGGATTTTTCACTTTTGCTATATTTTACTCACACATTTATTTAGGTGAACACTGTTTAGCAGTGTTTATGCTACTACAATCCTTTCATACCCTCCAAATGCCCTATTACTGAAGTGCTTGCATTTGAATCACCCCTTGATGGATAAGAGGATATCTTTGAGGTTTTTTTTTCCTTTCTTGGGAGGTGCATGAATCATACATTTTTAAATGCATACAAATCCTTCTGTTTCCCTTACAAATGAGTAACAGAGACTGAAACTGAGCCACAGACTTTTCCTCTCCATATCCCTCTACAGTGGTCTTCTGGTAATTCAGAACAATGGAGGACCCTCAGCCCTACCTGCTATTCCCTCGTAAGCACTCTGTTTATTCTGCTTAGAAGCCTGTAGATTTTTAAATCTTTATCTTTCAAATTCTGGAATGTTTATAGGATGGACTTTCGCCTATTACCGTGTAAGCCTCTTTGATCTGCAAGCAGATATTTTTCAGCTCAGTTTATGTTGACTTATTCCCAAGGAATGCCTGGTTTTTACTGCTGAGCTCATGCAGTCTTTTACATATCTTTTGCTTTCTCTATTCTTCACTCCTCTGCTTGTCTTAGAGATATTTCATCAGTCTTACTTGATGGTGACACAGTTTTGCCTCGTCCTCTGTGCCGTCTCTTTCATGCACATTTTAATTCTGCTCCTACATTAGTGCTTTCCTTGCTCCTCTTGCTTCAATGACTTTCCTTTCTACTCAGCCTGCAGATTTGTACTATCTTGTTTCAAAGAGGGCATATTTTCTTACATTTTACATCAAGGCAAAATGCATATAATTTCCGAAATTCTCCCCAGCTGCCTTCAATGCACTCTTTTCCACACAGCGTGTCTTTTCTCCAGATCCACGGGGCAGACTTCCGGCTGCCTTAGACTGTAGGGTTATTTTCCGGGCCCCCCGGTACTGTGGTTGTTTTTCGTTCGAGCTGCTTATCCCCGAATGAGGAGGGCTCCCTTCAGACCTGGTGTTTTCCAGTTCACAGGCTGTGTCCTGTCTCCTGCCTGCTGCATTCGTAGAGCTGATCAAACCCTCTTTTCTGCTCTCATCTTGAAAGCAGCCTGGCATGCAAGGTCCCCGGACAAACCTCTGTATGCAGCAGGCTATGGCCCTGCATCTACCTCTGGGATTGAGACGGGGTCGTCCCCGATCCCACTATCTGATTTTAAACCCATGCTTCTTGCCGCCTGAGATCCCTGGGATTGAGACAGGGCCATCCCTGATCCCACCATCTGATTTTAAACCCATGCCACCTGCGATCCCTGGGATTGAGACGGGGGGTCCCTGATCCCACCGTCTGGTTTTAAACCCATGTCACCGGAGCATGTATTTCTGGCTGCATTTTGTAGTTGTTCCTTGTCCCAAGTGCAGAGCCATGTGGTAGCCATCTGTCACCTGGGCGCTGGCTGTCTTGCCTTCCTAGTCTATGTGTGGAAGCACTCTTCCTGTTTCTCAGCTGCCAGGGTGAGGCCCTACCTGTGGCTTAGAGGGTTGGGGGAGCATGTGATTTTAGAGTAAGACAGTGAGCCACAGGGATTCTTTCTGGGACGGCCATGTGACCTGATCAGTGTCTCTTTATGAGAAGATGATGTTGAGTCTGGAGCTGCTGCCGCGGTTCTGGGACCTGAGGACACCCACCTGCCCCTGTACCCGAGTGGTGGACTGTGGCTGGGAGAAACAGCCACACTGAAGGCTTTGCATTAAACCCTGTGACCCAAATCTCCAGTGGGGGCTTCACCCTGCGGCAATTTTATTACCTCCCTTGGTCTATCCATTTTCTCACTTTTCCTAATGACAATTTCACACCTCCTCCTGCTTCCTCAGGCCCCTCCCGCCTCACTTTCAGCAACACTGGTGCTTCTCACTTTCCTGAGAACACAAGAGCCGTCTGAAGAGAAACCACTGACTCAGTGCTTCCTGGGCCACTGTTCTGAGGGATGCGGCCTCTGCTTGCACCTTCCTGGGCCTGTTCCGAGGGGTGCGGCCCTTGCCTCCACCTACCTGGGCCGGTTCCCAGGGATGCAGCCTCTGCTTCCGCCTTCCTGGGTCTGTTCCGAGGGATGCAGCTCCTGCTTCTGCCTTGGCCAGCCCCTCTGCTTGTTTGTGGGCTCTGTGCCACTGGCGCCTCCAGGACCTGCTCTGGGATAGGCCCGCCGCCTCCCGCACCACCTGTCTCTCCATGTCTACTGGGTCAGTCTCCTCCAACTCACCACTCTCTTCCCAAAACCATCCACATCCACACACTCCCAGCCGCTGCCCCAATTCTCTGCTCCTGAGTTATGAGAAACTTCTAGATAGTGTTATCATGTATGCTGGCTGTCTTCTCCCCCGCCTTCCCGATTCCCTCCACCCGCCCTGAGCCGTCTCTGTCCTCGTGCCCCCTGAAGGCCTCGTCTGGCCGGCTCATTCACGCAGCTTCTCTGCAGCCTGTGAACACCCCTCACTCGGCAGTGTGGCTTCACCGCCCCCTGGATGCCACATTCTCCCCTGGGCGCCCTCTCTGCAGGGTAGCTGCTCCTTCTCAGCTCGGACTTCTCCCCACCGAGGGCCACACTCACGCAGCCAATGGCTCTGGAGAACGTAGGCATCCGACAGCAGGTGCCCCCAGCTTAACGACTCCAAAAGAGAAGTTTTAATTTCTCACCCAGGCCTGCTCCTTCCCTGTTCTTGCCCGTGTCAGTTCACGGGGCCTCTGACCGCCCGGTTTCTCAGGCCCTGGACCAGGCAGTATGGCCCCAGGGGAGAAGTGGCCTTGGGTCCTGGGCACACATTATTAAATGTCTGGGCTGGTGCCACTGAGAGCCTGGAACTGGCAAGTCTGAACTCACTCAACTGCAAAAAGCCCCCAGGCTGTGCGGGCTGCAGCAGATGTCCTGGTGGATGGGAACATGCCAGGCCCAGCAGAGGCTGGGGACAACTGTGAAGTGCCATCGCCACCAAGCCCTGTTGGAAATGACAGTGCTTGGCAATCATTCCAGCAGCCCCAGGCTCATGCCACGTTTTCCTGCCTAAGGACTCTGGGTGTGGCTAGGATGGGTGGGGAAGTCAGGGACCCCCCTCCCCAAACCCACGTGTGCAGAGGTGGCTGCGTCTCCCCGGCTTTCCTTAGAGCTGCGCTTGGGCTGGCGTGGGCTTCCATCCGGCTGCTCCTGCTGCGTGGGTCTGCACTGCCCACGTACAGACACTGGCTCCTCCCCAGTGCCACCCCACCCCACTGAAAGAGGACTCTGTCAGTGCCTCCCAGCCTGGGACCCCCGGAGCTCACCTGTAGCAGAGCAAGCTGGGTTATCACTCAGTGCAGCGAGGAGAACCTGGGCGTGTCAGCGGGGTTAGAAGGGCCTGATGATTGTCAGGTGTGGGCAGTGGGAGGCGATTTGGCAGGGGACTCAAGGAAGCCGGGCTTGGCTCTGGATTGGGGGCTGTGAGGAGGCGGGGTCATGCTGGGATCTGGTGTCTCAATCAATCTTCTCTAGCTAGAGGGAGGGGTGACTCAGGGGAGGCAGGAGCCAGGCCAGTGGCACAGCAGCCTTCGCCCATCTCAGCAGGGAGCGGTGTCTACACATTTCTGAAGGGCTGGACGATGTTCCTGTGTGGTCTGATTGCACCATGGTCTCACTTTTGTCTTGACTCATCTTCATCCTGGAGCGGCCTTGTCTTACGTTGGTGCTCTGTGACACTGTGTGTGTGGGATGGGGAAAAAGCCCAGGCACCGCTGGGAGTGCCCAGTGGCTCTGGATGCCAGCGGCCACTTCCTCTTGGCCACCAATCCTGATTTTGCACAAATCCCCGTGGAAATGGGTGCCGGTCTTGACAGCAGCCTCAGAAGCAGCGTCCTCACAGGGCCTTCTGGGGGCACATCCCTGCGTGCTGGGGCTGGAACTGCTGGGGGGTCCTCTGGAGAGGTCACGGGTGTGCCACAGAAAGGGGCCTCTGGGACCATGTGACTGAGAAATGAGGATGTTCATCCATCTCTCTCTCTCTCTCTCTCTCTCTCTCTCTCTAATCATGTAAGACAAGAGTGAGAAGAAAGAGTGTTCTTTTCCAGCTATTACAGTTGAAGTTTCAGAGAAGGTGTGGACACTCAGTCGCTAGCTATGGTGAACGCACAGTTTTTTTGGCTGAAGCATCAATTGGGATAGACAAGTCCCTGCCTCCTTCTGTCAACTCAAAGACTAAAGCAAACGGTATTTCAGAAATAAAGGAGTCCCATCAGATGTGGGACTGTGCTGCACCACCTCCAGGCCCTCAGCCTCTGGGGGTCTCTGCTTCTCTTCTGGAAAATTGGCCGACACTTCTGGTTCCCCTTCTGCTGGCTGCTGGCCTTGAGTGACAGAATGAGCCCATATGTGTGAAAGTGCTTGAGAGCCGACCAGGGAGATCATTACTTTGAAGGCCACTGCCATGTGCAGCCTCCCCCAACGTCCCAACGTGTAGGGCCTGGTCCTTGTCCCTTGCACGAAGTCCTCAGCCACCTCGCCTCTGGGACTATGATCCTAGGGGCCTGTGTGTGCGCCCACGTGCATTTCGGGAAGTGAGGAAAGTATCTTCACAATAAGGCAAAAGCTGATCAAATTCATTTAATCTTTGTTAAAAGCATCACAAATGATTCATCGATTTTTAAAAAGGGAAAATAAGAAGGAATGCATTGTCTTTTTGTTATGTGCATGGCAGCTGATGGCCTTGCTCCCAGGTGCCCGTGTCTACCTGAATGTCAAATATGCAGACCCTTGAATTTACAACCAAGGACAGCCACGGGCCCACGCCGCGATCTCCATGGGTACACAGACGGGAGCATATCAGACTGTATCAGATGCCACCTCCTTCCCAGGTGCTTGGGTCCACATGCCCAAAATGTTCTTAATAGAAATATTAACATAAAATACAGGAAAACCACAAATAACTAAGGGGAAAAACCCTACCCAAACAGCTGAGAGAATTAAACAAGTGGTCAAGGAAGGCCAGAGACCTAGAGTGGCTACCGCAGGCACTGTGAGCTAAGGGGGAGGGCGGTTCCCAGGGTTCCATGTTGCCTGTGGGCCCCAGGCCTGCGCTGTGCTCGCCATGGCTGTCCCTGTGTGCCTGACGCTCGCAGGCAGCCTGCTGGCCAGGGACAGGTGTGAGTGGGGTGGCCAGCAGGATGAAAGTCCCTGCAAAGGCGTCCTTGCAGACTGCCAGCAGGGGAGTGGGGGCTGTGGCAAGGTCCCAGAGAGTCATGGCCCATGTCCTGGATCCCATCTCCAGGAGGACCTTGAGGACAACTTGCAGGGCCACCTCTGGTGGGGGCGGGGGTGGTGGAGGGGGTGCAAGACCCCCAGGTGGGCAGGCAGGATGGAGAGAGAGCTTTGGGTCTGGGGGGCAGGTAGCATGGTTGGGGACACCTCCATGCCTGTGTAGCCCAGGGTGCTCCCCTTGTCCTGTGGCCTTGGACGTCCCCCAACCCAGGGACATGAGGCTCCAGTCTCCACAGGTGGTTTACTCAACAAGGAGCGGGTGCCTCCTCCCCACCGGGCACTGTTTGGGGCGTGAAGATTCAGCCCTGGGCTTTCCCCTCTAATGGAGCATGTTTCTTTTCTAGGGAAAATGGGGTAATGCCCCCGAGCTCAGACATGGTGCATGGGAGAACGTCTGCACCTTCATTCGGATTCACCCCCGGCCAGCACGTGCCAGCCTGGGCTCTGGCGTTCTCCCCTTCTGAAGGGGAGGCCACGGTCATCTGAGAGCCCTGCCAGAGAGGAGGGGGAGGAGGGGGAGGAGGAAGGGGCTACTGACTTCTCATTTCAAGGCAAAAGGTGACCCCCCACCCCCCATATTCCTATGTGTAGACTTACACTAACATCCCTGATTCTAGGAAACTGGGGGGGCGGGGTATGGAGACCGCACGGCACTGGGGAGCAGAGAGCTGGGTTCAGGGCCACCTCTGCTGTGACCCTGCTGTGACCTTCAGTCACTCTCCTCCCTGGGCCTCAGTTTCCCCTTCTTGAAAATGAGGGGCACCCTGATGGCCCTTCCAACCCTGCCATCCTCAGCCTCTCCCAGCTGGGTTTCCACCGGGGTCCCTTCGCCTACAAGGAACTGCAGAAAACTCGTGCATCCAGAGCTGTCTCCACCACCCACCTTTCTGGGGGCTTCTGGCTCCTTCCAGAGCCCAGAATGGTGGGAGAAGAGCCATCAGGTGGGAGAAGCCTGCAGGATGGTGCTGCTTGCTGGCAGGAGTGAGGAACCATGGGCACAGGGCCCTGAGCCCACCCCACCCCATCTGCCCTGGGGAGAACCAGGGAGAGAGCTGCTGCCCCTCTGGGCAGAGGAGGTGCCCTGGGCACTCAGGGAAAGGGGCTCCCGAGTACGGGGCTCTGACAGAGCAACCCCCGTGGCTACCACAGGCTATAAAGACAGAGAGTGAGACACCCCCACCACCGCCAACAGCTACCTAGAGAGGCATTTACACAGCTGCAGCTTCCAGCCGGAGGGCAGTGTGGTGGTAGGAGGGACTGGGCAGCCGCACAGGTGAGAGTGAAGAAGCAAAGTCAGGAAGGCCCCGGCCTGTGCGGGGAAGGAGCCCGCAACACAGTGTGTGAACGGGTCCACAGCTCTTGCAGCCCGAGGTACTGGGCGGGGTCCAGGATGACCAGCCTCAGCCAAGAGAAGTCAGGCCTCGGCCTGAGTGACAGCACGTGGGGCGGCCGTGTGTGGGGTCTGGGGGCAGAACCTGCCCGAGTCAGGCCTGGTGTCCCATAGGGGCAGGGCCATGTCCGGGGGGTCCCGTGGGCCCCCGTGGGCCTGGGCGGGCTTCGACTTATCAGAGGGGGTGGTGCCTGTCGCCTGGTGTGGGGACGACTCAGGGAGGGGGCTTTCCGCAGGTCTCTGAGGGGCACCGGTCCAGCCGCCGGCTTCACTGGTGGTTCCGTGCCCTCCGTGGGTGAAACGACGGATGCTGGGGCAGCATCAGCTCACCAGGTAGCTGTGCATCTCTCGGGAGTTGATGCTCAGGACCACGCCCGAGTGGTTGCCTAGGAAACAGAAGAGACGCAGGTCCAGTGAGCACAAGCCCTTGGCCGGGGCTGGAGACGGGGCCACGGGGGCCACAGTGGTGGCCTCAGCCAGCGCCTCGAGCCAACGTGCAGTGGGGCCTCCCTGGGTTCCTTCAGCCCGTGCAGGTGCAGGCGGGTCTCCGCGGTTCCTAGGTGGGTGCCTGAGGAATGGACTCTCTCGGTGCCATCACAAGCAGTGGGCCCCAGAGGGCCTGAGAGGTGAGGCCCAGGCCGGCCCCAGCCCGCCACAGCCACTGACCTTCGTGGGGGTCGCCCCCGGCATCGGCAGCAAGGGGGTGCGAGAAGGGCTGAGGCTCCGCCCCCTCCTGGCAGTGGGCGCTGCAGGGCGTAGAGTGGCGAGGCCCCCGGAGGCGAGAGTGGGAGAGAGGGGGGCATAGGGATGTCAGCGCCAAGGGGTGGTCTGGGCATCCCGGGTGGGGGCTGGTTAGGAGACAAGGGGATGGGTCGAGGACCCAGGACCCAGAGCTGCTCTGCCTCAAGGGCACCGGGAGACACGGCTGGGAGCACCCTCGGCACAGCCCGGCCACGCCTGAGTCCTCGTCTGAGTCCTCGCCCATCCTTCACCTGGCTGGGCCTTGACTTCGTCATCTCTAATGTGAGGGTCAACCGCACCCCTCAAAGGACTGTCGTGGGTTAGACGGGGAAGTGTGGCTGCTGCACTGGCAAGGGCGGCGTGGATCAAGGGCTTGGCTGCATGAATCTTACTACCCCACTAGCATTACTCTTTAGGGGCTTGGAAGCAAACAGCCGTCGGGGGCTGGGGAGCCGAGCCCTGTCTTCCTGAGACCCTGTGCCCTCTGTCCACTTGAGAAGGCCTGGGTTCTCTCAGGACCTCACAGCTGCCTCCATCACAGGGGTGAGCGTGGGGGTGACGCCGCCTGCAGGAGGGGGAGCTCCAAGACCACCTCCTGCCCTGGCAGGAGCAAGACCAGTGGAGGGGTCTTTAGAGTCGTAGGCCACTCACCCATGGCCTGGGGCCTTTGCGGGACACACAGCTGTACAGCTACTGAGTCAGGCTTGAGCCCGGCTCCACCTCCTGTCACTAAGTGACCTGGGGAGGTTGAGTAACAGCTCTGAGCCTCAGCTTTCTCATCTGTGCAGTGGACGCAGTGTCGACGTCTGCCTCAGGGAAGTCAGATGGTGTCTGGGAGGCGCTGAGGTGGGGCCTGACACAGAGCGAGCCCTCAGTGAAGTACACGGTTCCTGTGATGTTTCCAAGGCTACGGATGCATCGCACCAAGAGGAACCCACCTGGGCTGGCGATGCTGGAGACAAGAGACCACCACCGAGGTTGGAGCAGACAGTCCTGGGGAGGGGCTGGAGACAGCGCAGGGGAGGCAGAGAGGGACCGTGGCCAGTCCATTCGGCTGCCCTGAGCCCTCTCAGGAGTGTGTGAAGGTCACAGGCTTTGGAGTCTGACTGGCCAGGATCTGGCTCCAAGGTCAGCCAGTGGTTGACTGAGGCCGGGGTGAGCGACTTCTCCTTTCTGAGCCTCACTTTCAATAATTTGCACAGTAGGGACAGTGGTTTCCGCCGCTCACGTTCTGAGGACATCCTGGATGCAGGGTGTGAGTGATGCTCCAAGCCGGATCATCAGAACAGCAGTGGCAGCAGCTGGGGGTGCCGAGACCTCTGTGGCTTCCTGTGTGTCGTCCTCTGCTCCGGAAGCTACCGCAGAACCCCCCAGCAATGGTGAGAGGTGTGTGCCGACATCATCATAAAATCAGGCCCAGACGGGGATTGTTAAAAGAGAATAGGAACCATAGGGGAGAAGCCGGGTCCCTGGGGTCTGCCAAGACGTGAGTTCCAGCTCTGTTCCCCACTAGCTGTGACCTTGGGCAAGGACAGTGCCTGTCCTCAGCCCTAGGGAAAAGCCCGCCTCCTTGGCTGCTCAGCTGAGACAGGCATGGAAAGTGCCCACACTGTCCGGCTGGACTTGACACGGCACACAGGGCTGGTGCCATGGCTCTAGCATAGGCTCCCAGGCCTCTGACAAGTCTCAGAGCCTCCTGGGCCTCAGTTTACCCCCTCATCCAGAGGAACAGCTGTAGTGCCTGTTGTGCTGGATGGCATCACGCTCTGACTACAGCTGAGGGGTGGAGTCCGTGCCCCCTCCCCTCAAACGTGGACAGGGCAAGACACAAGTGACAGGGTATGACTTCAAGGCCAGGCCCTGAAGCGGGTGTGGCTCCTGCCTGGCCACCTCACTCCACATGCTCTTGGAAGTCAGCAGCCACACTGGGAGGAAGCCCAAGCCACACGGCGAGACCATGTGCAGGTGTCCCGCTCGATGGCCCAGGTGAGGGGTTAGCTGACTGCCTGCATGAATTGCCGGCCATCTGAGTGAGGCAGCCTTTGAGATGATCGCTGCACCAGCTACTGACTGCAGCCTCATGAGAGACCCTGACAGCGAGCAGCCGGGCTGAGCCCACTCAGCTCCCAGACACCAGAAGAGAAAACGGCCATAAACGATGCTATCACTGAGGTGGGTGGTGTGTCATGCAGCCATAGATGACTTGACTGGTCTTCTCGCCCTGGGCATGATCACATCCGTGGAAATGCCTCGTAAACTGTAAAGTGCGGTGCCGCAGGTCCAGGTGTGGGATGTTCCCTAAATCACCACCGCAGTGAAGGGGAGGACTGGGAGTGCTGAGGGAGCGGCTGTCGGGGAAAGGCCTCCCATACCCTGAGGCCAGAGTCAGGCTTCCTTTCAAAGCCAGCCCTGTTTCCCGTTCTTTCCCTGCCTCGACTGGGCTGTCAGGGGCTGTTTGGTCATCGCCAGGCATGGGGCCCTCAGCGTCCACAGGTCTTGGATTTCATCTCTGGGGGCAGCCCTGAGAGGTCGCGTCATCCCCTCATCAGACGGAGGGACACAGTGGGCCAGACTGACCCAGCAAGGTCTGCGGGACCGGGGTCCTGTGCGTTTCGCTGGCCGCAGTGGCCCAGCGGGGTGGCCTGCAGGAGGGTGGAGTGGGTTTGGGGCGGACGTTACCTAGAGTCTGCGAGTCGAGATCATCATCTATAAACTCCTCACCCTGGACAGCGCCCTGGACGTCCTCACTGTGGCTCACGGGGCTGGTCATCTCCTGCTCCTTCTCGTTGTGCATTTGGGCGTACACGGTCCTGCCCGGCCGTTTCCTGCTGGACAGAGGTGAGGGCGGCTCAGATTGGGGCAGCTTCCCAGGCCGCCTGTCCCTGGGGCCTTCTGCTGGCTGCCTGGCCACATCGAGTGTGGTGCACGGTGCCCACAGCACTCCAGAGGTGCCTATCCCAGCCCCAAGTCTTGCCTCCTGCCCCATCTCTGCTCAAAGCCACTTCCTCCAGGAAGCCCTCCCTCCTGTGTGCTCCCTGGGCCCTGGGATTCCCTCTGCCCTGACACATTGGGTGATCACTGTGTATCTGTCGTCTCCCCTGAGAAGCGAAGCACCGGCGTGTTGCAGGGAAAGGGCCTTATATCCCCTTTCCCCCCAACCCCAACGCCTGGTCACCCTGCCCTGGGCTGGGCACACATTCCCACAGGAGGCACGAGCCAGCCCAGCTCTGAGAGGCACTTACTGAGCCCCGTCCAGGCGTCCTGGGGAAGTGCTGTCCTCGATTTCCCAGGGAGGAAAGGGAGAGGGTGGGCACAGCCCCGCTGCCTCCACTGGGACCAGGCTCAGGACCCGCCGTGGGCCAGGCTCCTTCATGCACAGCACCCCACTTAGTCCAATCAAAACCCAGGGCCAGGGTCCCATTTCACAGATGAGGGGACTGAGACCCAGTGGGAGAGGGGGACTTTCTCAGATGCAGTTGATGAACACCGCCAGCCCTCTGGGGAAACACTTTGATAACAGGATGGGCGGGCGGGACCTGTGACTAACTCTGAGGGTGACAGACCCAGTGGGAGAGGGGGACTTTCTCAGATGCAGTTGATGAACACCGCCAGCCCTCTGGAAACACTTTGATGGCAGGATGGGGCGGGGCGGGACCTGTGACTAACTCTGAGGGTGACAGAAGGTGGCCAGTATCACCTACAGGCTGCAACACTTCACCACTGGATTAAAATGCTCAAAGTAGCCCTGCTCCCTCAGTCTAGAGCCTCCAGACACGAGGGCCCAGCCCCTGCTGGGCCCCAGGGACAGGTGGCTGACGGCTTTGACTGGGTTGTCAGTGCTGCCCAGCCCAGCCCGTGAGTAAGCCAGGAGCTCCGGGTGGTGCAGGCTGCACCAGAGCCTAAAGCCTCTGGCCGCTGGGGCTAAATGGGGCGTTGCTCTGTTGTGAGATGGAGCCTCGAAGTATATTGGGCACTTCTGCCTGTGCCCAATACATTCAAGCTCCCAGAGCTTGGAGTCACAGCCCTGGGGCTTGTCAGCACCAACTTTCAGCTGCTTTTGTTTCCAGGGCAGTGAGGGGCCTGGCTTC